ACTTAAAATAAATTTAATATAATATTTGTGGGGTCGCTTGACCCCCCACTTGGCCCCATGTGGGGCCGAGTCCGCCAGTTGCTACCACTTATGATGACTATTGTAGTTATTGACTATGAATAACATTACTCAAATCTTCTTGGCCCTTGTTTGATTGAATTTATTTTGGAAAGAATGAGTTTTTCAATAGAAAATTTGGGAGAATGCATTGTTAAAAAATAAGAAAAAATTTTGGGTTCAAGTGAAGAATATTTTATCGTGAGAATGTGCTTTTAAAAATGAGTATGAGAAAAAAGAATGAGAAATGATGATTGTCAAACAAGGACTTATTCACTAAGCAATTTGATAACAACTAACAAGAATTCCTACCCATCCCTTGAGTTGCCTTTCTAAATTTGCTTCAAGATTTGAAGGTTAAGGACCATTTGTACATCAGTTCCACAGCATGGGGACTATTTTCACCAATTTTTTCTAAGCCCCCGTTTGTTTCTCATTTTTTATTCATAAAAATGAAAAATATGATTGTTATTCATCACATCAAGCCAACAAATTTGAATTTATATTTCTGGTGTGGAGCTCAATAACGACTATATTTTTCATTCTCATTTTACACGTTTGGACAATAACAAAATTATCAATCATGCTACCCTTACATTTTTTTTTGACATTTTTATTTACACTGTATGGTGTGACAAACGATGGACAATTTTTTTAATAATCAAACGAAGTGTACATTTCCTAAATTTAATTAGCTGGGTAGCTCTGCAAGTCATAGGATACTGCAGTCCTGCATTTGTGTAATTGCCATATGCAAAACGTGTTTGATACAAAGCTGGGCTTTGGAAGCCACCAAAGCGAGATTGTTCTTGGTAGAGACTGGAACTTAGATGTAGCTGGTTGGCTACCTGCTTAACAATAGTTGAATGCTGTTATTGATCTGCCATTACAACTAACTAATAAAACTCCTGCAGATTCACAAAACATGGAGGTTAGTTCATACCATAAAAGAATAAATGAAGATCAGACACCAAACTCACAATCTATTGCTACCATATTCTTCACTTGTTTCAAAATCAAGGATCATCTATCAGATCTCAAGAAGTACTTCAACTCATATAATAGAAGAAAATCACATAGGAGAGCCATTCAAGTATCACCTATTTTAATATCAATTGATAACTAAATCATGAAAATGATACAAACTTCCGTAATTTTTGCATGATTCACAATAAAATTGCCCATTCAAGGAGTCAAATACAATGAAAATTCATGAATTCAAAGCCAGAAAAGCATTGTGAAGAAATGAACAATTATACATGCATTATCAAGGGCATCAACAACAAAAAAAAATCTCGAGCGGAAAGACCAAGTTCAGCAACTAAAATAAAGATGAACAAACCCAGATTTGGTTATATAATTAAAATACATTAGATCTTTACAAAGCTTACGTTTCTTAAAGATAAATGAAAAATGAAAAAAACAAAGAATAAAATAAAATTTATACATCCCGAAACTGAAATAATATTGAGAATCCAAAACCAAAAGGTAGATCGTTCAATGGTACAGGCGTACAGCTAGCTTAAAAGAAAGGAAGTAGACTTTATAAAGCGCACAAATGCGAGCCCCAGATGAGGCGCTCTCCTTTAAGGGGGTACTTTTCAAATTGCCCAAGTCAGAGGTGTACTTTTCCACTTTGCCCAAATTTTTTTACCAT